GATCGCCAACCAGCCTACTGGCTTGTTTTCATTGGCAACCGGACTATTTTTATTTTGTAAACAAATTTTTGTCTGCTAATTTTATCCAGTTCAAATCATTCAGCAACATTTTTGGCATATTAGGTGTACATCACATGGAATACTACGATTGAGAGAACTTGATGTATGTTGACTGAGTTTTATAAACCCTGAAGGGCTCTTTGAAGATCCACCCGCAGTAAAATTAGCGATTACCATGGAGGCGCGACCATCAAAATCAAAATACCAGGTGGTTTCTGCTGGCGATGTTGCGATGTTACCCAGTTCCAAATAAAGATTACCAATGCCAAAAGAGCAACATTTTAACTGGCAACCAAGGCTCATTCAATCCACGGCTAACAAGCAACATCACAAGCGAAGTTGTAGCGTGCAGCTCAGCAACTACCGCTGACGACGTAAATCATCCCGTCAGTGGAGTACCGCAGTAGCACGGCGTGTCTGCCTTCACCATTGTATTTAAACGAATCACCTGGTTTGCCGTTCTGCTTCAAACCCGAGATTCGATCAATAGGGGAGTTTCAGTAAAAAAAAAAACATCACAAATCATGCAAGTTCAACATTTTCAAACCAGTATACTAAAACAGAAATGCCCAATTACTCCTGTGTAAAATGGACTAGCCTCTTTTCATGTTGACATTCAGACTAAAATCACGTGACAGGCTGTTAAAATTGGCTGTTGCATACTCTTTCGCCAGTCTGGAAAATGTGTTTAATTACCTCTCATTCAAGCAACAATGCAGATTTCCCAGTGGGAGTGAAACTATTTCACTCTGCCATTAAAAAATAGGGGTGTTTTCAGCAAAAAAACTAATAACCCTGGAATGCACACAACATACTGAATTTCGGAACAAATCGTGCATTCTTACAGCGGCAGAATACCACAGAAATATCAGACGAAACATGAAAACACTGTATGTTGTATTTCATCCTGAACCCTCTCTATTGCAATTCCAGGAATTACCCCCATATATGCATCTATTTTCCACCTTGGTATCACCCACCCCTGAAAACAAACTCTTAATACCACACTGAAGCATTTGGTAACAATGCGTCTTGTTTCTAAGTTAAAAGCCACATCACCCTTTTCATCATCAGTTCCCTCTTTTCATCAAAAAATTCACAAGATTCAAAAGATTGGGATAAAAATAGCTAAATTTCAGTAAAAACTGAAAATATTAAAGAATATGAGAAAAAAATGACGAAAAATTTGGTCGATAAAGCTGGTGCAGTTCACACAAAATCATGTTCCATCTCCTATGTGTTAGTATGTATATCTTAATGTCCTAATTTTCAGTTGATACATATATTTACTCATAGCCGAAGCACTAAACTGAAACTCAAAGAATCTGCAAATTTAAATAATTAGAATTTGTTTTTTCACAAATTGATGAATTTAAATACCTTGTGAATATCCCTGCAACATTAAATCCACTTATATTAAACCTAGAGAATATTTCCCCTTCGACAAAAATGCAAACCTTTAAAAATGTTAATACCTTTAAAAAATTTGGTGACCTATTATTTTTAAACTATTCAATATTTAGAGTTAAAAAAAATATTTGAAACAGTTTTTTTTTACCATGTCATTATTCTGGGTACATTCATTAAAATGCGAGTTATTACATGCATGCTGTATCGTGCTTGATGCGGGTTCTATGCTACATGTACAAAGCGAGTAAAATACATAATTTATTTACACAAAATTTGAACATGAACTGACTATGACAGGCTTCATGTAATAGTATCTTTTCAAAAATGACTTCCATAACCACCATCTTTTATATTTGCTGATATTTTTTTATAATAAAAAAATCTTCCAGTGTGTGCAAAAAAATCAGAAAATTTACATCAGATTTGTGGAACTGCCATTGTCCCTGAATTGACACTGTTATCTAACTGTGGGCGTACATAGAGGGGGATAACAACCAAAACAATGTTCACAGCAAAACATATTTAGAGAGCTACTAAAAGACTGGTACGCATTTATATGCAGGGTAGTACATGCATGTACAATACATTTTACCAACCAAATTGTGTTAAGTATGAACATTTAGTTGGCAAAGGAAGTGCATTTTTTTCGCAATTTTTGTCGTTTTTGAATTGGTTTCTAGACATCGCACAGATTAGTTCAAAAAACATCACAACTTTTTTTCTACATTTTTGCACTATTTGAAATCAATATTTCCCGCAACCTGTATGCTAACAGCACAAGTCCAGATCATGTGACCAGACAACTAATCACTGTAGATGTTACATACCAATCATTTCGGCTGTCCGTGGCTTTTAGCAAGCAATGTGTTATGTAATGAGAGAGGTCCACATATAGTACCTATATATGTAATATCAAAGTAATCTGAGTTGTGGTTTTTAACAAGAAGTCAAAAATATCACTTTTTACCAAAACTGACAAAAATATTCATCAAAATTAGAGAATTGAAGATATCACGAAATGAAGAAATCTGGGAGAGGTCCACATATAGTACCTATATATGTAATATCAAAGTAATCGGACTTGTGGTTTTTAACAAGAAGACGAAAAAAATCACTTTTTACCAAAATATTCACCAAAAATATTCACCAAAAATAGAGAATTTGAGATTTTGACATGAAATGAACAAACCTGAGAAAGAACCATCCAAGGTACTTGCATATCAAATTTGAAAACATTCTGACAGTTTTGAAGAAGAAGTTGAAATTGTAAAGTTGACGACGACGGAAACGATGACGGACATGAATATGACGAATATGAAAAGTCAGCAAATGTCAGTTGCCCGTGCCATGAGAGCCGGCCACAGAACCAAAACAATTTGTCACCCTTCGCCGCCCACAGCATTGATTTTATATGGCATAGAAATGAACACTACATGCAGCTATCCCGATCAGCAATCAAATCATCAATCTTTATGAGTGATGTAACTGGTATTTCCACCTATTTGCTTAGTGGTCCGTAAGTGAATGTTGTCAAGTTCGAGAGTGTGTTTGAACGTACAGTAACGTGAACATTATTGCTACAATTTTGGGCTTGAACATGTTCTATATTCACCCAAAACAACGAACCTGAAACAAAAGTAACCGTCCGATCTAAATGACCCGAGTCTATGAAAATTAAGTCTCATCTCCCTTGCGCTTCCGATCGAGAGAAGGTTGCATGCTGCAGACGACCAAAGCATGTTGTTGTTGTTTACAAACAAGCATCTACCTACCCATGAACCTTTGTGTTTTTAACATGCGTTGTTATCGTCGTGTGGGACTCAATTCCCGCTCATGCACAGGTGATGACCCCTCGGCTTTAAAATTTTATCAAATAAACATTAATTAATCAAGATTTTTAAAATAATTTTATTGCACCATGTCATGTTCGGAATAGGACCCATGCGACATACACAATAGGAGTAAAAAATTGTTAATGTGACATTTGAACACGAGCTGCATGACGGTATTTTAATAGGTTTAGCAAATAACAGATGCATAGGTTATATTCTCCTGCACCCTATCTTCTAGAAAATGTATAATTGCTATGGTTACATATAAATTACAAAGTATCTTCCTCTTTCAGTACATTGTGTATGTCGCATCAGGGATGCCCACGGTATCAAATAGTAGACATGCATACAAATAATATGACATACTGTTTTTTCACATGATATCTACATGCACAGCATAGAATCTATACCAGACCACTGACACCGAAGTATATGTTGTACACCGCTAGTACATTTCCAATTTAAATTTATGCAAACGACGCACACACTATGAGAAGTCATCAAGTTATGAGAAATGAAATGCTCATTGATTAGTTTTAAAATGATGTGCATGGTATTGCCCACAATCCACATTCTCTGATAATTAACAATGATTCAATCAACTGCATTTTCATTCAACCAATCAAATGATCTATAGTCAAAGGCTGACTGTGATGAGATATTACTAGCATCATACCTAGGCATAGTTGATGACATTTTCAATCAACCAATCAAATTTACAGTCCATAGCTGACTGAGATGAGATATTACTACAACTGTACAGTAGCTAGGCATTTGTGGAATGGATTATAAGGATACAGCAAAACATAAATTCTAGGCAGTCACTTGTTACCATAACTAAATAAAGGTACATTTGTATAAGATTATAAATTGACCCTTTTATGCTACACTAAATCGCTTAATTTTCATTTCTAGGAATTTCCATGATTGGATTATTTTATGGCACTTGCCTTGACAAAATTTCACGAAAGTCGCTGACACTCCACATCTTACTGCCACAAAAAAATCATGAAAATATATCTCTCACTAAATTAATGCGATTTACATTTTCTCCTCTTATTTAGCACACAGAAGTAGTCAGGAGCAAATAGATTAATATTACATTCTACTTATGTAAAGAGCAACTGTGCTTGACATGTAGGCGTGATTGGCGCGCTCACCGCCCGACTGCATCAGACCCAAATAAAGCCTGACAGAATAGTGTATGTCTCACGGGCAGATCAATACTGCAATACTGAGTTTCAATAAATATTCATTTTGGTGGTCATGGTAACACCGTCAATCAAAGTCGTTTTTGCATTGTCGGCAATAATCACAGACTGTTTTCAACAAGATGATAAACATTGTGCGAAAATTTTCACACATTATGTCAACAAACAAATAAACTCTGCCGTGAATGGTTACTCTTTGATGGCTGTCACTATCTGACGTTTCTGCAATTTTATTGGTACCAACAGAAAATCATCAGGGAACTGAAAAACTACATCGTTCTGTCAGACGTGTGTAGAGTTCGGAGCACCACGGAGGGCGCAGCTTGTGCAAACTTGTCAGGCTACTGTAATTGTATGCAAGGTATACTATTAATTAGCTAAATAGATAAGAATTAGGATTTACACGGAGTTTAGAATTGCAAATATTGGTATATTCTAAAAACAAATCTACTGTAAAAAAAAAATATCAGGAAGTAGCAACACTTACTGGTTTCCATTTGAGTGGCACAAACCCAGGACCAAGAAACGCCGCTTGGAAGAAGTTGTAAAGAATGAGAAATATCCACATAAATATGGTACCTAGATGAATAATACTGCAAATATCGTCCATAGCTGGGGGCCACCATACCAAGGTACACACCACGGCCATTGATGTGACAAACAGGATGATAAATAGGGCCAGTAACGGACCCCAATGGATGAGTTGTTTGATTTTAGATATTTGCATCTTAACGCACTAGTCAGCTGATCTCCTCAAAAAATGTGGCTTCTGGCTTGTATCTCATACATCAAGCCTGCCTACCACGAAAAATATAGACTCGGTTAATACTGAAAAAAAAATGATGAAGATGATATGTTGGCGAGAAAATATGCCTTTTGTCCGTCAACTGTTGTCAATAAAGCTGTGGGGGAATTCAGCCTGCAGTGAGTCGAGAGCAGTCTTGATAAGGAATCGATTATGTTACGTTTGCAGGGGTAGATGGAAACTAGTGACAGCGTTGATACGAACTGGTGACGCGCGGAGGAGTATGTTCGTTGCAGGGTCACGGCGAACTATTTGCTCATTTCTGCACTAAGCAAAAGAAACATACACACTGGGGGAAGTCGTGCAGTGTGTTTGTTTGTTGCGTCTGTTCTCGGTTCATATAATTGCATTAGCCGTCGCATGCTGGCGCTGTTGTATCAACCGTGATAGAGTCCCGGGATAGAGTCCCTGACTTGTATGCATGTTTTTTTTTTTTGACATATTTTTTCCAAACGTCAACTACAACTAAAATTTTGAATACCTGATTATCGATGCACCAGTGTAGTCAGCGAACCGGAAGTTACGTAATTATGTGGAATGTGTTCTGTGTACCAGCATATTTTCTTGTCATGATATGCAAATAATTACCACGTGACAATTGTAGCGTTCAATTGTTGGTCACAGTCATTCTACGTTAGAGGGTAGGTATAAATGTGAGTGAAATTCGGTCACCGGGTCAGATAAGGAATTCGCTCGTTTTTCATAGTAAGCAACATTTCTCACCAAAAAATAACAACTTTTAAATAAATAGGGATGAGTTGAAGAAATTAGTTCCTATTTGTAACATTTATATTTAGAGGTCAAGTGAGTCTGAATAAAATCTTCTCTGAATAAAATATGGTAGTCAAGATGAAGTGAAAAAACGCGCAAAAGGGGTGTTATTTAGTTATTTGACGCGTGTACCGTGTTTAGCGTCGAATATTTTAAAATACATAAAAAAAGTGTGAAAAAAGAATCTCATGAATTCATGTTACCTCAACTTGGAAACAGTGTGATTTTAGTATGTATATAGGGTATCTATTTTAAGTTTCTGCACTTGAATAATTTCACGAAAATAAGTACGTGTTTAGGTTTTTTTGAAAAGCTATACTGGGCATGGGTACCAGGTCCGACTTGAAGTACCCCCCCGGGAAATGGGTGGTTTGGAAATACATATACCCTTATACTATGTCAGAAGGCGCACTTCGCGTGATTCTAGCACCATACACATGGAGTTAGAATAACTGTAGTGAAATTATTTAAAAAGCTTTTACATACCGAGATTATGACGATATTCTGTGTCACAGGTGATAGAGGGATTGTGACTGTGTCAAACTTATTAGCTTTCTCAACTCCCAAGCAAGCATACAACCGCGGTTGTATGTTCCCTTGGGAGTTTAGATAGAATGGGATAAGCACCAACTTCGTGAGTTCATACCGGGGTCCGATTCACTCCTGTGTAGAGAGAGGCAGTAGGAGTGAGGTACCTTGTCCACGATACAACATTATGGTATAGCCATGACTCGAACTCAAAACTGTGTGATTACCATGTCAGGGAGAGAGATAATTGTACAATGATGCCTGTAACTGCACTATTTGTTGTTGTTGTGTTTTTTTTTGGGGGGGGGGGGGCTTTCATAATCTGTGTAATCTGATTGCTGATTTGTTTGTTTCATCTATCCATCTATCCGTAGCGGATTTTTGATAGTTGTGGCGTTGATTGCCCAAGGAGTACATACACTAGTCCTGCAACCAATATAGGACCCAGATGTTCAGGGAAGAGTTTTAACATCTAACCAATGTTCAGTTTTCGGCCCTTGAAGGTTTTATCGGTGATGGTTGATAGACGGTGAAAATGTCTAATAACACACCGTTCCTAAACGTCGCGCCCTCCAGCGACAAAGCGATTATGTGACGTGATGCGTGTAGCGTGTGCCATTCTTGCGAACTCCGCACAGTTACTTCTGATCATTGCACAAAACCTCTTTGCATACCTCTATATGACCCAAATTAGTCAAGGAATGTGGAATGTGTTCCAGCATTTCTCCCTCTTCTAATGACAACTGTCACTGTTTCACTCACATTTCCATTCACTTCAAAGCCACTTCCTTCACAATCACTAGCGTCACTGGGGGTATCCACAGAGATCGGAACAATATGATTCCCATGATCATCACTGTTGGTTGATGTGAAATGGTTATGGTCGGCTCTGTTTGTTATACCGCCCTCAACGATATTTGTTACTTTTCACAGGAATGTGGAGACTGGTCACCGGGCGCCGAGGCTGGGTTACAGTAGCGTTGCAGTAAGAGAGGGAACCGAGTCAAAGACAAATCATTTCATCAGGAAAAAGGGCATCTTAACTCCAGCTCTAACTCATACATGAAAAAATCTGAACCGCAGCTGAAATATTTATGAGAATAAAAGAGAAAATGTAATGTTTTTCTTTACGTGCCATACATTACTATATTTTGTCAAATTGAAACATTTTGTGTTTTGGAAATTGACGAAATGAGTCACGTTTACCCAATATCACAAAAATGGTTTTGTTCATGTTGTAAGCGGATGATCAGAAAATCTATCAAAAACGCATTAGGGTTCACGTGTGACATCTCTAATTAAAGCGGAGGGGTCGTTAACTGCGCACGCGCTGGAATTAAGTCCCAAGCGGCGATAACAACACACGCCCAAAACGAAAAGGCTCATGGGTAGACGATTGTTTGTAAACAATAACACGCTAAGGCCACCTGGCTCATGCGCAGGTGACGACTGTCCGCTTTAAAAGATGCAATATAGATTAGAACATGAAATTTTCATAACTTTGGTTGATTCCGTATTTTGATAAATACGTTGGATGATTTATTGCGACCTGTAAACACCGTGCTTGCAGCGCACTAGCTATTTTGATACGTACTGCACATGCTTATGATTTTTCATTAAACGAATACTGTTTCGTGTCATGCAAACGTAACATTTTTAGTTTATGGCTAATAATGATCTGATTTGGTCTATGGAGTATAAAAAGGAATATTTGTTTTCGTCCATATTGCATCTTTAATTATTTGTTAGTAATAAAACAACAAAAAATAGAATAAAAATCAGCATTGTTTTAGTCAATTAGTGGAAACAAGAAAATGTATTTAGCCTCTGGTGTAGTGGTGTGTTGTTCCAGTTCCTTCAATCTTTTAAAAACTCCACGACGAAGCAATACCGCAAGCTTGATGTATTTTGAAAATCAAGTGTTGTCAAAAAGGATTGTGTTATATTGGACGACTGCGGTTTTCGTCATGCCACTACTCGACGATTAGCCACATGAGCAAGAAATGGAAGTTATTTTTTTAAACACAATACAATCCACAATATAATGCCTTTGCTTCCGTTTCCGTAAGTTGGAGGTATAACGAAGAATTCTCATTCCGATTCACCGAGCTCGCTGCTGTTGCCGAGTCTTCAACTCAGATCGACGCCGACGGGCGTGGATACGTTTAATACAGTAACGTATACTGTACAAACAAAACGACCCTTTTCAGGTCCACCAAATATTTCAAAAAGAGAACTACCGCTGTCTTTACACAAAATACAAACTATATAACAATTTACACGCCTGATTTAAAAATGCAAGTAAAATAAAGATTATTTGATTATGTAGTGTCTTTCGGTGACGAGATATTGGAGTTGACTACGGTATTATCGTAACGACTAGTAAATTAGTGTGTTTTTCACAACATTTTGGGGGTTTTACGGAGAAAAATTATACACATTTTTGTTCTTTGTAAATTATAGTAGTAGTATAAAAAAATGTTTTATTCTGTCGGAGATGGTGCAAACTTGTGTTCAAATGACATGAAGTTATTCAAGCTTTGCTACCAACCGTCTGTGAATTGAATTGTTTCTACGCTGTCAGTTTATTCACAAACATTACAACTCGTGTGCCAAAATAGTTGATAAATTCGTACTTTGCCATATTTAGAAAGGTAACATAAAATATACAAATAATCAGCCTGCTCTTATGGGTTAACAAACAAATGTGGAACGACGTAAATGCCTTACTGGATTTCGTTTAAGTAAATATTATTTGAATTTTTTTCCCGCATACATATGGAATACATCGGAATTTGCCAGGGAGACACAGTTTTTTTCACTCGGGAAAAATCGAGATACGTATGGCAATAATCGGGCACACGCTCGGGATGTATCGCTTTGGATTCGGAATATGTCGACTGAACCCCCTATATATCAGATGAGATATATACGGGAGTGCATCTACGTGTAGGGGTAATTGACATTCAAGGGAGCGCACTGTACGGTACGAACACAATCAACAAGGTCATGTCCTCGACCTTGATTTGCCTGGCGCCTGACACTATCTCAATCCATTTGCTGACTCACAAATTTAACATATGTCTTCAACGTATGTGTTATTCCTGCCGAAACTGTTGAACATATTTGCTGTTGACCGTCCCGTCACTTTTGTTTCTGTCTGGACATATATTTTTTTTCAATAGAAAGAGGGTTTTAGAGGTTGTGTATTTTATCCAATCAGTTTTGAGCCATGCTTTCTTTTAACAATTTTTTTTACAAACGTGTGTGTTTTTTCAATACATTATTTTTCTAAAATTTTCCCTGAAGATTGTTGTTTCTAATATTTTCTCTGTGCAGATTTGCTTTCAAAATCACCATCTATCACCGCGTATTGCACTGATATAAGTGTTAGTAAGGCAGTCGTGAGAGAGATTGTTGTTAATTTACTTCAGTATTGACAGCTACTAACTCAGGAAAATCAAGAAAAATCATTTCCACAGAATTGATAGTAAGAAAAAAAATCTGTTATTAAAAAAAATTAATGTTCAGAAATGTTCTCAGGACAAATATCTCTGTCACAGTAGTATGAAAAAGGGTATGCAATTGAGCAATTTCGTCCAGTTCCCTCCCCAGATAAAAGACCAATATAGATTTTGGCTTGCATTATCTCCTTAGGCGACCCGAACTGTCTCTGACGGCACGAGGTCAACCAGCGGGCGTGTCGACAAACGTAATGCACACCTCTGGACTGTGACCTAATTTTTCCAAATACCTTAATGGGATTTGAATTCTGCCAAAGCTTCACAATTACCAATATACTTCTGTCATATTACAGTACATACAGATTAGACAAGCAGTTAGTCCCAACCCACTTGACAACGGACATTACAGTGGCGGCGGCACCGAGGGGGGTGGGGGTGGGGGTGAGGTTCGCCCTCTAAATCAAGCTGAAACCTTTTGTGTCAGCAATATGTGCCCCTTAAAATGCAGGAAATATCCATGCCAAC